GTGGTGTAAGTCGTGGTGGTGGTGCTGCTGCTACTGCTGCTGGAGATTTAAAGGGGCAGAGCCCCTTCCAGGCAGGCATTGCCTGCCTGGCTGTTGAGCCACTTTAGCTGCAGAGGATATTTGTTTTCCTGGGCTCTAATTTCATTTAATTCCTTCACCAACCCTAATTTGCACTAGTCCCTAGTAAGGCCCTAATTTCAATTAATTAGTCCCTAAGAAGACCCTAATGTCAATTAGTTCCTAAACAGACCCTAGTTTGGAGCAATACTTAAAGACTTAATTAATTAATTAATTAATTAATTAACACATGTATTAATTAATTGAATTAACCCATAATTACATTACTTAGTTAAATAAATAATGAATTAATGAATTAATTAATTAATTATAATTTAATTAGTTAGATAATATATTATTTCATATTCTCTAATTAATTATTTAATTTGATTTTAATTGATTTTAAAAGGAATTTAAAGGCGGCCCTACCAAATCCTTTCAATAAATATTCCCCCCTAATAATAAATAATTTTTGACCCCCCGGAATATTTATTATTAGGGGGGAGGGGGGGGGTGGACGTCGTTTATTATTAGGGGGAAGCGATTAAAAAACCTCTGATTGTGCAAGCCAAGGGATGATGTCTCAAAATTGCGGAGCCCTGCGGGATGGTTGTTTCCATAGAGCAGCCCATCTCTAAACCCTACAAGCCCCTTAAGTAGGTTTTAGTATATTGGGGTTATATTGGGATACTGGAGAAGAATATGGAAACTACTATTTAGGGTTTAGGGATTAGGGTGTATAGTCCCCCTTAAGCAGGTAGAATATGACTTTGGGTATATTAGAATAATTTCCCCCTATACCCCCATACTCTTTCTACTTAAGGGGACGATAAACCATCACTCTGGGTTGATGCGTTGGGAGGAGCCGGAGGAGCCTCCTGCTGAAACAATACCTTTCTTTCTCATCCCTCTAGCCCAGCTGTGAAAGTGCATGCAGTTTACTGGGTGGCTGTTAAGGTGCTCAAAACTAATAAATAATAGGGCTTCCCCAATATAGTAACTTAATTTAAGTTCCTTAACAGCAACCCAGAATATGGGTATACAAATTCTTGAAGGTTGAAGTTGCCATAATATAGGTAAATAGTAGGGTTTTTCTTGTTAGATTAATCAGTTCCCTAGCAGCAACCCAGTTAACAGCCACGGCTGCCTGAAGCCCTAGTGTGGTGCTTTCATAAGTTCTTGACAAAGCTGAATTAAGTAAGTCCTTCATGTTGCATTTCTCATTTTTGTACATGTATACATCTGCGCACACCAATGTGACAACACCCATTCCACAGGCTGCCACGAAACAGCAGTCCAAGACAGGCAGGCTGAACATCAGCACCGTAAATTGCGTAAACTGATGCAACTAAAAATGTCTGATCTTGCGGAAAGCCCTAAACCCTAAACCCCCTTTTTTCCAGCTTTCCCGGATCCAGAAGCAGAGTCAGAGTTTCTCTTTGACAGGAGATTGCAATGCTGGGTGCAGCCATCGAAGTGTCCTTCGCTGCTTGTTTGCTTGGGAGTTCTGGTACTCACTCAAGACCCCAAACCTAAACCAACCCTAAACCCTTACTCCAGAACACCATAGAAGCTCAATATGGGGCGCCGCGGCTTTGTGCGTGATGTTGTAGTTTCCTAAAAACAGGGGAACCTCCTTATAAAAGGGACTCCCAAAAAGTACCCCTGACTTTGGGAAACCTCCATGTCTGTTTCTTGTGAGATCTACCCTAAACCCTAATCCCCAAATCCTAAATCCTTAATCTCTAATGCCTAAACCCTATATCATCCCCACACACACCCCAATGGCAAGAGCGTCGATCAGCCTAAGAGCTCACTGTCGGGCTCAAGTATCTTCCATACCTGCCGAGGTAAAACATACAGCATACAAGAACCACGTCTTATGACCGTAGTTCCTGGGACCCCAATATGTTCCCTTAAGATGCTGTAAATATAGGGATCCCCAAAGGTACCTCTAATGTTGGGAAACTCCCAGATAAATCTGACTTTGTTATTCTTTGATGGACATCCCTCTGTTGTTGGGATTGCTTTTCTCTCAGGTCTGGAACTGCCACGTCAACAATGACAAATGCAAGCCCAGTGTGAAGGTTCGAAGGTTGGACACGTGTCTTGGCTACCTTGCGGGACCTTGCTGCAGAAGATGAAGAAGCAACAAGTGAGGTTCCAGGTATGTGCAAGTGCTGTCTAGCAGGAGGGCTATGTGGATCCCTAAGCCCTAAACCCCAAACCCTAAAACCTAAACCCTAAACCCTAAAACCTTACCCCTAGGATATAGCATCGTGCACTCCTGACAAGGCTCTTCGAGGATGACCATTTCGGCTATTCTGTCACCTCAGCTGAGCGACTTCGGCTATAAGGGATAGTAGTTCCCCTAACTAGGGGGACCGTTTAGGGTTTAGGGCTTAGGGGATATGGTCCCCAAAATACTATAATCCATATTGTAGGGATCCCCAAAAAAGTACCCCTAATCTTGGGAAACTCCTAGAAATTGGGGTGTTTCTCCAAGCAATGCCTCTATAGTCCTCGATAGGCCCTCTGAAAATCCCCTTTTTCGCCCAAATATTGCCGCGCTCTGTTGAAAAAGCAGGGCCCCCGCCTGACTATGCCACTGCCAAATTAAGCACACTGGTCCTCAAGAAGGCTTTCACGGTTCCGAGGACTCTGGGGAGTAATTTATAGGGGATGATCCGGATTCGATTAGGGTCGCGAAGCCAACATGCACTAAAGAGGTTCTTCCAAACAGATGGCAGCCCTCGCCGAACAGCCAGCAAGACCATAAGCATAAGTTGTGACAACTATGGGGAGCTGATGTCCAGCCCACAAAAGCGCCACGCTCAGACAGTGCGCGTTTCACACTGTATAAAGCGTCTATAGGCACCGAATCTCTTCGAGTGACCGCTAGACCGGTCCGGATAATGAGTGCAACATTACTCCTGGGGCCTCCGGGGCACCACTACTTGATGAAGCTCGCATGCTTCGTTTTGCTTAGTTGATGCGCGAGCAGCCCATGGCCACTGACACAAGTATTGATGCAGCGACGCTGCTATTGAAACTGAGGCTGACCACTGCAATTGATTCTTAACCAGGCCAATGCATTCCATGAGGTAGCCTTTTAATTCGTAAAGTAACATCCATGATATGGAGACGCAGGAGGCAGCAAAGTATCCAGCTTTCGCAGTCCCCTCTATTCAAGGTATGTCACAGACGATGAGAGGTATCGGAAGCATGCCCATGGCGTCAGACACTCATCTGCACCTGGACATGCGTCTCCTTGAAGCAGGCTGGCCTAAAGCGTACCTGTCAACCGGCAACAAGCGCGGCATGGTAGTGCACCACCTCGCAAGCCCTAGCGCTTTCAGGAATATTCCTGAGAACAGTCGGCTCCGGACATCGCCTTTCTGTCATCAAGCTGGTGATGAAGGACCCGAAAGTTTGAAAGGGTGCGGCATGCTGCAGGGCTTCACGGTTGATGGCGCAGCCTTTGGAAATGGCGGTTCAGCGCTGCTTCCTGGAAATGTGGCTATTTGGTTGTTGCTGTTATATGACCTTGGACTTGTGTGTTTGGGTCAGGCTTTTGCCTGACAAATATGTAGCGGCCAGGCGCCAGGAAGTTCCGGCACGATCGAGTCCCGCAGTGTGTCAGGCTTCAACAGCTGGCACGCTCCTCACGGTAGCGCCGCTCATTGCAGACCTCCTCATGCTCCAGGTGCCCCAGCTCTAGTGAGGTGTCATCCCTTCAGGACTATGGGATTTTGTGGGCAAGCGAACACGCACTACTTGTCCGCAGGATGCTCCTGAAGGCATTGCTAGGCCTTCCTCTTCAAAGCAAGCAAGCCAGCAAGTGTTCAATGCTTCCAGCTGTCCGACTCAGTGAGCATTTGTGTTGCTGTGTTGCTGGTGGAAAGGGTGGAAGTATGTCAGAAGACACACTTAGTTTTCTTGAACGGCAATGAGGTTTTCATACCTGGGTCATAGGAAGATCTTGGGCCTGAGTCTTAAGATAGCGTGAATCCCGAAGGCAGCCTTGGCGCGAAAATCGTTTCGTGGCATGACTTGCCAAAGCATATGCCCAGGTTTTCGCTCTCAGTCGAAAGTACTTCGCGCGCAAGTACGAGGCCGTCCAAGGGGAGAATATAGACAAGGAGCTATTGAAGCGATGACTAGGGTTTCTGAAATCTACAACAATGCATGGCTCCGGAACGATGCGTTGTAGCTTTGTGTTTCTGATGCCCAGCGCCGAGCACCACTACCGCCGCAACCCTGAGTTGTTTTATTGTCGTTTGTCTCCTTACTGCCCTTTCTCTTTGTGGTTCCAACTGTCCACTGATAACGCAGAGTTAGCCTTTCGGGACTGGCCAAAGAAATGTGCTGGCTGCGCCAGGTCTCGCCGGACTTCAGCGAATACATGGAACAGCTCATGGCCAAGAAGGACAACATGGGAGGTGAAGACTGCTGAATGGAAAACTACAGATTCCTCTGTAATCTGCGTACATCGGATATTCCAGGGGTCCCTAGGGGCCCTCCATTTTGAGAAGCCCTCTATCATTGCCAGTGAAGCTGATTAGAGTTCTTCCAAGATTGTGGGCTGTAAGGTGGCATGTGCTAATGGTCAGATTAAGTAGGCCTTCACTGCCATCAAGTGGGTTTAGGGTTTAGGGTTTAGGGCTAGGTTTAGGGTTTAGGGCTTAGGGTAGGAAATCTATGACATTCAGATGAACAGGTTCTCCATTAAGGCGCCGCTATTGTATGGCAGCTATTATGATATTATCCCAGGACCATTAAGGCCGTCAAAATCTCTTGGGTCGGTGCGGTGCAAAGCCTTGACCTTAAACCTATGAAAATTCTAGTCCCCAACGGGCCTGAACGCTAAATCTTGTGTTGGCACGGGGGATATTAGAAATCCTGCATTTATACTTTAGGGGATTCTAGTACTACTGTACAATACACTACACTCGTTCAGGTTTTGTAGTATGACTAGTAGTACTGAAGGCCCACGGTTTCCCTTTACGCGAAACCCCTACACCCTAATCCCTAAGTCCTAAACCTTAAACCCTAAACCCAACTCCTTCAACTCTGAATCCGTAACCCTGAATCCCTGAATCCCAAATCCCTATGAACCCTAAACCCTAGATCCCTAAATCCTAAATCCCTAAACCCTATAGTCCCCCTTAAGTAGATAGAATATGGCTTTGGGTATATTATAATAAGATCCCCATATACCCCATATTCTATCTACTTAAGGGGGACTATGAATCCGCAAACCTCCGGCAGGAAGAACTGAGCCGCCTACCCGGGATGCTGGCCGAGGACGATGCCGCGGCGCTGGCCCCTGGACCTTGGAAAAGCCTACCCCAGAGGGTCCATGTGAACCATAGTCTAAACTCCTTAAAGGGGGATATGTAGGGGATTATATAGGGGACTACTATAATGGTTATTAAGGGGGATACTAGGAGTTTAGACAATGGCTCATGTGGGGGTTTCCCAAAATTAAGAATACCTTTTTGGGGGTCCCCATATTAAGGATTATAGTCTTTTGTGGTTTATATAGGGGTCCGATATTTTGGGAAACTACCATGTAGCTATGTGGTATA